TTTTTTAGTATATCCAATCTTGGAGATTAGAGTTTTAAATAATTCAACTTATTCTACTACTGATTTGGCTTGGAAGTGAGGTTTGTAGTATAAATATTTATAATTTAAGACAGCAAGATATCTGAATTTTAACTCTTTCTCTTTAGAATAATCTCTGTAGAACTACCCGATGATGCAAGACAGTTTGGAATCCAGTTCAGATGGTGGCAGCCACACCATTCTTCCCAAGGAGAAGATGTGTGGGCTATTGATGAGATTGTCATGACCTCTGTCCTGTTCAACAGCATCAGTCTTGACTTTACCAATCTTGTGGAAGTCACTCAGTCTCTGGGATTCTACCTTGGAAACGTTCAGCCATACTGTGGCCATGACTGGACACTTTGGTAAGGATTATTATTACAATTTGCATTAATAAGCAGAGCACATGGATGAACTATTAGTTCATTCTGCACTTAGTCTGTTGAAAAATATTGACTGAACATGGTACATTAAAAAGTTAGTACTGGGGCAAGAGAGATGGCTCAGAGGTTAAGAGCACAGGGTGCTCTTCCAAGAGGTCCTGAGTTCAATTCCCAGCACCCACATGGTGGCTCACAACCATCTGTAATGGTACCCAATGTCCTCTTCTTCTGTGCAGATATACATATAGACAGCACTCATATACATAAAATACATTAAAAAATCTTTTATTTCAAGTTGGTGCTATATTTATGTCTTCAAAATGAGGACAAAAAACATAAAATTCACAGATTTGAATAAATATAATATTTCATATTAATTAATTTAAGATTTTTGTCTCCAAAAATTATATATAAAAACACTCTCAAAAATACTAATAATTAAAGTGATCACAATAGTATTCCTTCATTGAGGACTATGATGATCATACTCTGTGTGATATTACATTAGTGACTGGTTTATTAAAATTTCTTACAAGAAGTTCTATTTTCATGCTGTCATATGAAAAGTTCCAGAAGCTTGTCAACCCTGATTTATTGACTTACATGTTCTTTTTAATCTTTTTTCTCATCTAGTTAATGACACCAGTGGAGGTTCAATATTGAGGGATATCCTAATTAAGATAGTCATTGTGCCGGGCAGTGGTGGCGCACGCCTTTAATCCCAGCACTCGGGAGGCAGAGCCAGGCGGATCTCTGAGTTCGAGGCCAGCCTGGGCTACCAAGTGAGTTCCAGGAAAGGCGCAAAGCTACACAGAGAAACCCTGTCTCGAAACCCCCACCCCCAAAAAAAAAAAAAGATAGTCATTGTTTTTAGATTCTCCTTCCAATGGTCACTTAAAGATTTAATTATATAACAAACAGTAAGTAAATAATTTTAATTATAATTAGTACTTCATTAACACCACGAAAGATAATCCAACAGTGACTAACAGTGTGAGTAGCTGGTGACTTGACAGGGAATCCCCACGGTCCCTCAGAAGAGTCGACCTTAGAGCCTGTCAAAGCAGTGCATGACTGAAATCCCGGCATTTGAAAAGTGGGAGCATGGGGATCAAGTTCAAGATCATCCTCAGCAACACAGGGGGTTTCGGGCCAGCCTAGGCTACTTACATGAGAAGGGGGCAGAGGGTTCAGAGACAGAGATTACCTTTGGGAATTTGAGAAAGCGGACATGATATATCTCACTGACTGGAAAGTTGAAAAACAAGGAAATTCCAGACATGTGGAAATCCACAGGAAGAGAAATCCATCTATGAGAAATTCTGTGGAAAAGAGTGCTAAGACAAGAATTACTGAGGGCAGTGGTGTTGGAACCCATGTGTTGAGAAGATGAACATGTATCAAGAATGGAAGCCAAGATATGTTCAGAGAACCCAAGAAATTACCAGATTAAGACGTAGGTCTAAATGATCCCACAGCCTTCGCCATTGTGCCCACTGCCCCTCTCTAGATTCTTTTTAAACTGTAAGCATGACCAAGGAATCACTTCCTAAGAGACTTTTAATTTCTATTGAGTCATGATCAGGCCCATTTAATTTCCTCCACATGAGTCATGCTGAATGCTAATCATTGCTATTGCCTCCAGAGAGTGTATCATAAATGACCCATCAGGAACCTTATCATAATTAGAGGGAAATTTTACACACCAGTGCACAGAAAATTACCTTTGATTGGAACTGTGCATGTACAGTCACATCTGACACACAGCAGGCTAAAATTCTAGCATTGAAGTGACAGCTAATGGAATGGAAATACAGCTGGTCACTTTTGCTACAAGCATGTCAGACTAGACACAGTGAAATTTCTACTCAAACAACTCGAGATTGTTAGACCACATGTTCTATTTGATAGCCTCAGGTGACGTGTGTGTGTGGTGTGTGTGTGTGTGTGTGTGTGTGTGTGTGTGTGTGTGTGTGTGTGTTTCTCATTTCTCAGCCTATAGTTCCAAAAACTCAAATAAAAGAGGAAAAATGAACAAGAAGATATGAAATACAGACTAAAATGAAATGTAATAGAATTTGATGCTTCTGAAGTTTGAGTGGCCTGAATTAACAGTTACTCAGATTGGTCATGTATCATAAAACATATCTCACAAGATTGTGTAGTAAGATTTTTTTTCAGCACTTAGCTATAACAAAGAGTCATATCATGAATGCAAGTCCTGTATCATGTTTATTTTCATAAATAGTTAACATCTGCTCAAATTAACTCAAGAGTTGCTGAGCATTTTAACTTAACATTTGAGTTGAATGCAAGATAACCACAGTTTAATTTTTGTGCTTTGATCAAATCCTGTGAACAATATCCTTTCACACAAGTCGGATGAACATTCTTAACTCACCACTGCTTTCATTTGTGGAGATTCATTTACTTTATGAAAATACAATCATATTAATTCCAGAAAACCAGAAGAAAATAAAAATAATTGTGCTATCCCCATGGGCACCCTGAGCAGCCCTGTAGGAGTTTTATTAACAGCAGCATGTGAGCAATGCAACTTGACTTTCTGATGCTCTCTAAAGCAAACCGGAGTTCTCTTGGTCGTGAGACATCAGAGGAGATACTCTGGCAGTGATAATGAGACTAGAGAAACACATTAACCATTTTTAAAAGGACGTGAAAAACTGTTTACTGTTCATTAAATTGAAGCAACATGGAAAGTCTCAAACTGCTCCCATTTTCTTGGTCAATGAGTTAGAATAAAACTCTTTTTAATGACACTGTTTCTCTATTCTGCTGTTGAGAAAGACATTGTCTAAAATTGGATGCAAGCTTGTTTGGCACTGTTTTTCAGAAACACTTAATTACAATATAGAAATTTGGGAGATGATATTGCAAACTATGTATTATTCTCCCCCAGTCCTTAACAGTAGTGATCATTTTTTCATTTAGCATCTTTTGAGCGTGTTATCTTATTAAGTAAAAATTCTTTAAATGTATTTGAAAGCATAGCCTCTACCCTACAGTGACCTTGTTTCTCTCAAGGGAAATGTAGACACCGTCTGTACTGAAAGACTGGTGTTAAATTAATGATTGTTGGCTCTTCCCAGCTGTGTGTTCATTTGGTTCTCATTTTAGACTCGTGACTTTCCATGAGCATGGATTGTTGTTACCAAGGCTGTTCTCCAGGGAAAATGTGGACAATTGCTTTTTCATTAGAACTATAGTTAATATGCTGTAAATCACTTAGATTATGCCATTCTAAACCACTTTTTTTTCAGTAGGGAAAGAAATTGCTTCTCATTCTTGGCAATGCTTTCCTTCTATTCATTAAATCAGAATCTGTATCTGCTTTCATTTTTTAAAATAATTTTGAAATCTCTTACAAATATTTTTTAAATCTTTTCCATTGAGATAGAATCACATCACTCACCCTAACCTCTCTTCCTTCCAGCCCCTCCCAGCTACCCTCTCTCAAATGCGTCTCATGACCCCGTTGAAGTTGACAGCCTCTTTTTCTTTGATTACTGTTGTTACTTACATACATGTATGTATGTATATGTACAAATATGTCAATATAAACCATATATATAAAATATATGGTTTCAAAGCTGACCGCTCTGCATTGGACAGCCAATAAAGTAGCTCGTCCCTTGAAAGCCTGACTCTCCTTCTCCCTAGAGTCATTTATTTTTGCCTGGAGTTTTTGTTTAGGAGGGGACCCCGTGAAAATTCCCACCTACCACATAGCATTTCCATCAATAATACTATTGTTCTGGTCCTGTTTATGTAGACATTCCTAGGGGAGGCTGTTCCACAGCAAACTTCCTGGTGTTCTGGATCTTACAATCTTTCTGTCCCCTCTTCCATGATGTATCCTGGGCCACCATGCAGGAGCCATAGATGTATCTGTTGGAGCTGGGCTCCCCATGATCTGTTGATCTCTGCATCATGTGTAGTTGTGGTTCTCTGTGATGGTCTCCATATGCTGTGGTGGCTTCTCTGATGAGGGGTGATAGCTACACTTATCTGTGGGTGTGAGGATAGGATTTAGACAGATAGGAATTATTCCGGTCACTCAAAGTGGCAGTAGTAGTCTTTTCTACCTTCCATGACTGCACTAGCCCCAAAAAGCTGGCTGGGTTTCTAGTCTCAGGCATGATTTCCCTCCTGTTGAGTGGGTTTTAAGTCCAACTAGACAGCTGTTGATTGCCACTGACATTTGATTGGCACTTACTGCAGTTTTATGTATATCTTGCCATCTGGTCCTTTCTGTGGTTCCTAGTGTTGCAGCTGGACAGAGCTGTTTCTTTCCATCCTTTTGCAGCTTGAGTAATACTTTCTGGAACCATGGGAGTTAGACCACAGAAAAGAGGCTTTCAGGTCGGTCAGATCCTGCTTGAGTCATAGGAAGCCTGTGTCATAGAGGCACACCCTCAACCCCTGAGAAGCAACCAAGGCCTACATAGATAATCTATGCTGTTGGAGGAACTCATAAACTACACTGACCAACCATTTGAAGGGAAGTGGTTGCATGATGCTGGAGTTTTTCTTAGACTGTGGTTCTTGTGGGGAACACAGTGTACACACACACACACACACACACACACACACACACACACACACACACACGCGCGCGCGCGCGCATACACACACACATTATATAAATATATATGTGTGTATATATATATATATATATATATATTTAGCTAAATACAAAATAATGATTCCTTAAAGCTTTATCAAATGACCTTGATGTGATTTGTTCCTTGTCCCCCCTCTTCCTCCTGTACTGACCTCCCCCTCCCCCTCCCCAGTTGGAATCCCCTCCACATCACTCCATATCCCACTTTATGTCACCTGCACCCTACTCTCCCCCTCCGAAGGCACCCCCAGCTATGGTCCCTTTATACTTGACTGTTTTCTGTGGTTATTCCATGTCATATATTCATATCTGAGGATCTGGAGCTAGGAACCACAGA